AATTAATTGAAAGAAAAATTATTTGGAAAAAAAATTATTGAAAAAGAAAATTAATTGAAAAAAAAATTAATGAAAAAAACTATTTAAAAAAAATTAATTGAAAAAAAATTTTTAGTCAAAATTTGAAATTTCTGTTTAAAAATCAACGTAAACTCATTTTTTAAGTTTACGTTTTTTCCTCAAATTTACAAATTGAGACAAGCATTTATAAACTAAAAAAATTATCAAACAAGTTTTTACAACAGTTTTTAAAATTTTTATAAATATAAACTGAAAACTGAAAAAGAAATAGTTATCAAACAGACCCTAAACAATTCAGTTTATTCATTTTCTCTCTCTCTATATATATATATTATTGGAAAGTGTAAACACGATGTGCTTATAATTTTATATTTAAATTTTTTAATAATTTGATAAATGAAATATGGATTGATTTTGAAACTATGAGCAACTATTTATTTATGACATTCTTGAAAGGAAAATAAAAAAGTGTAACAAAATTTCATAACTGTTTTGAGTTGTGTACTTTTTATAATAGAATATATATAGAAAATGTGACTATGTATATTCTTAAAAGAGTATATGTATGATGTGCCTTTTCGTAATATCACAAAAAAATTGTAACATGAATTACGAAATGATGTAAACTTCTCTCATAATAAAAAGGTAAAAGTTTTTGCTTACAATAAAAAAGTGCAACAAAAACCACATTATTTATAATATAATCATAAAGAGTCATAACTATGAGGTGCACCCTTAATATCTACACCACAACAATTCATAATTAATTTCATAAATAATAATAATAATAATTATTATAACTTTCTTAAAATAGGAGTGTGTGGATCAAAGCATTTCTCAATAAATATATACGTGTGGGAGAATGTATGTGTGTGAATACTGGTTGCAAAATTTCTACACATGATAGAAGCTTCATGCTTCCATATGCCAGTTCTCTATGGAAAGAGGTTGCATTATTGCATTTTTCACTTCTTTGACTATTGATATGATATATATAACATCTCTCATAACTCGAAAGGGTAGTCCAGTTGGTTGAGGGTAAGAGATCAAGGACTTAGAAGTATGCTTCTCACTAGGTCTTAGGTTGGAATCCCACCCCCAACTGACTATTGGTGGGCTACTGCGTCTTTGCCCGGTCGATAAGCTCAGGATCCCGAGATTAGTCGAGGTGCGACACTCCGAAGGAGTGCTGGCCCGGATACTCGGTTATCAAAAAAAATATATATATATATAACATCTCTCATAACCCATTATTTTTTTGGTTATTTTTTAAAAATTATGTTTGTTGTGGTAATACACGAAAGAGGTGCAATAAAACAGTTAAATACATTTAGTAACAAATATTTTTTATTATTATTAAATAGAGATGTGCGAGATCAAAATTTGACCTAATAGATGAGACATTTGCTTTTCTGGTGATAGACATGAGATTCAGATTCCGAGTCTCATTGATGCGCCATACAATTTCTCCTTTCTCTTTCCTCTTCCTCTAGATTGCAAAAACAAAAGAAAATAGAGATGTGCTTTTTTCTTCTTTTTTTTCTCTCTTGTCAATCAGTGAGATATTTACAAGTATGATAAGTGAATTAATATATCACACGAACAATTACAGTCCAACGGTAGGACTGACCTCCTAATCTCTCAATTAGAAGTATAAGAGTGAACAACTGAACTATAAAATAATCTTTGAGTTTGAAAATCAAACAAGTGATACAAATTACTCATTGCACGATCATCTTCTAGCAATAGATTGAAGAAACAACAATAAGTTGGAAAACACTATTCATACATAAAATTTATACAAAAAACTCTATAAGAATAATATGACAATATTATTTTTGTAAATAAATTAATCTTCATCTTATAAAATTTTTGTATGACTTTCTCTCATAAACGACCCAACATTCATTCTGAAGTTTGAACATGAACATGTTAGCTGTTTGTTTAGACTTTGAGTAAGTTAGGGACATCAGAGTACTTATTTTCTTGTAAGAAATCACTTGCTAAAAAATTTCCATATCCAGATACTTCGTCATGAGTTTTTACCTTTTTTTTTTTTTTTTTAAAATGCATGTGTGCTTGAATGACCAAAGATAAACATATTTTACTTCTTTGTTTTTTCCAATGTAATTAGAGATGATACATAAGAATGAATATTACTGTGTATATTTATGTATAGTGGGCTGTAGAATTTAAAATAATTATTATAATGACACTTATTTTAAATCGTCAAAAATTGAAAATCATAATAAGTACTATGGACGGAGATATTTCAAGTACAAAAAATCGTGATAAAATTTCATCTGAATAGTGTGTTTTATTTATAACCATAATATAGACATATTATATTTATATATTATCCTTTTTCTGATATATACAGAGCACTAATCACTGGTCTAATAATTGTTTTGTGAGATGTCTCTCTGTCCAACTACATGGGAAAGTTTTTCCAAACAAGTCTACGAAAGGACAAAAAATAAACATATACAAAAGTAAATTACAGAAAAAATATTAAGAATAGTGACATGATCTAGATCTCACATCCATGTGATTTTTATTTTATTTTATTTTTTTTTTGTGTAGAATCTAACATCCATGTAGATCTTCTGAGTATTTATTATTATTATTTAGTTGTGTACCTAGAAGTGCTACAATAAAACTAATTTCTAATTTATAAAAAAAATAATATGAAAAACAAGTTCTTAAAACCCAACCAAATATAATCCCATTTCATTTGAACACCTATGCACAAACTTGTATGATTGAGCTGAAAAGGGATTGAAAAGTACATAGAAAGAAACCATTCCTCATCTACCACTCCCATTTCTCTATTGCTTATTATTTTACATTTATTCTTGCATTGTTTCAATGTTGGAATCCATTGCATCAATACAACAATGACACATCATATGATAAGTAAATCTAGTATTTTTTTTAACAATTGGTAAGGGGAGATCATGGGAGAGAAAAATTGCACAGCGCAACATTAAAACTTAAACGCACGCTCACCTTGTCTATTAGACCAACTTATAATGATGTGTTTTTTTATTAGAATGAATATGGAATGGACTGGTCAATCTTTAATCTGCGTTTGTAATGATTATTCCCGTACAATAATGAATGATAATTCCATTTACAATACATTTTTTTAAATTTTTTTAGTGAACCAAACGTGAGAAAGAACATTCTAATGAAATTGTCATTTCATTTTAGGAAACCAAATACTACCTTAGGCCTTAGTCTCAAGTAAATTTAGAATAAAAAATTCAATAAGAGGATTATTGTCAATTCATTGAAAGGGAATTGCATTTGCGGGGACTACCACCTCATTATCAAGAGTTAAAAATCTAACTAGCTAGACTTAGCCTAATTAGCCATCATGCGTTCTTTAGAGTTTAGTCCCAAGTAGATCATGGTTTTAATTTCCTTTCGGAGGTTGAATTAAGGGAGTGCAAACACTTAGGTGCTTTGCCAAGAGTGGAGAGATTTTCTCACATAAGTGCTAATCTAACAATTAACAACTAACATTTGCTGATTAAAAAAAAAAAAATTAAAAATCTAATTAATTTAAAACACTAATCAAATCTAATGGTGATCAACTTGTTTTGTTTTTGGAAGACTTTGGAGGAGAAAATTGACTATGGTGATCAACTTGTTTTGTTTTTGGAAGACTTTGGAGGAGAAAATTGACTAGGACAGGCTGATTTTATAGACAAGAAAATAAGGAGGTGCATTAATTAAATGGTTTGAAGAAGAAATGGTCTTTTATTTACCTAAATACAATTCGTCTCGTGTTGTGGGCATCCTTCCAGGTTGTTTCCCAACCAGCCCCAGATCTGGTATTCTTCTCCTTAGTCAAAAAGAAAATCCACAGCAATAAAAATGTATATATTAAAAAAAAGAGTAAAAAAATTTTCAAGAGAAAGTAAAAAGCAAACATACAAAAAAAAAATAGAAATTAAAAAAAAAAATGCTAATGGCTCAATTTAAAAGAAACTTTTACGGAATGCTAAAATTTGTCTGTTGTTTTGGGATTATAATTCTTGCAAATTATGGTGTTGCAACATGATTGCAGGGTTTTGGAACCGAGTAAAGAATATACAAAAAGAAAAACATACACCAAGATTGAACACAAAACGACATGACATTGTTTTAAGTTATCACCTTAAAACAAAGAACTCAGGAAGATGGTTTTAATTACAAAACTGCTACTGGAAGAGAAGGCAATTGCCACATATTAATTGAAATAGATGCCGGGTCATGCTAATTAATAAGAGAGGAAAATTACAATCTCAATGCAACTTTTACACAGTATTTCAATAGATTTTTGTACATTTTTCACTTATTTCAATAATCAATACCTTAACACGCCCACTAACGATTGTTGACATTTTTTTGAACTGTTATTGGCATTTTTCATATATAGCAGGTAGGAAGCGATCTAAATCTCATAATTTCAAACCTTACTTGTGTGATTAGCTGAATAAATTTACTTCCATTCCATGCATGATATGAGACTAGTCAGCCTGCCATTTAAGTATAGACTGTGGACCAAAGGTTATTTAAATGTATATATATGTATACAGGAATAACAACTCCTCTTATCAATGTATGTATCCACCAACATGTAGGCAGAATTCAAAAACAGAAAATTATTCATACGAGTAATTCTACGGACCTTGACAAAGTATCCGAAAAATACTAATATATTATCATGTATCCGGCAATATAAAACAGTAGCTCCAAGTTTTAACCATGTCTCCCCTTGTATAAAGTCTTTTATGCTGGGTTTAGTTGAGAGATTTGGAAATAAAAAAGAAAAAAGTAAGTAAAATATGAATAAAAAATACTTACATTTTATCTAATTTTACACACATTTTTTTTTCTTCAAATTTCCTTTTAAATCTTTCAATCAAATAGCGCAAGTGATCTTGGGTACCACTGTTAAAAAAAGACTTGCTAAAGGTTCACTCTCGTAGCCTTAACTAACCTTAACTTCTAGAAAGCTAAAGGTAGATGTTAGAATCACATTTGAGTCATTCTCAATCCATATATAATTACACGTATGCGCCCTTTTGTCCTTACACGTTTACAGAAACCAAGTCAGTCAATAGGGGGTCCCACATGCCAAGTCAATTCCCACCTTCCTCAGTTGGACACGGGCTTCCCCGCTCTTATTTAAACTCAACTCATCACAATCTCTCGCTGCACTACAACTCATTCACAGACAACTTGTGAAGTTCTTAAGTTCTCTCTGTGCATTTTTCAACACTCAAATGGGGGTTCTTGAAATCAAAAGGAAAGAGACACCAAACATGACCCGAAAAGGCATGGCACGTCTCTTCTCTTTCAACAAAACTACCTCTTCACTTTCTTCATCTTCATTTTCAATCCCTCGAAGCATGCCTCCCTCACCGCACCGCACCTTCTCCGAATCAATGATGGAGGAAACCCTCGAGACTGCAGAGGCCACGATCACGAAATGGGACCTCGATGACGCTTCTTCATTCGCTAACTTCGTGTCTCTCTTCCAAAAAGACAGAAAAGAAGCCAAAGACTACATCAAATGCATCAAGGACTTGCGCCGCGCCATGCACTTCTTGGTATCGGTGAATTCAGGTTCTTACAAGCTTGTTCTGGCACAAAACTTGATGCAAATCGCCATGAAAAGACTTGAAAAGGAGTTTTACCGGATTTTGTCAGCTAACCGACGGTATTTGGATCCGGAATCAGTGTCAAGCCATTCGTCACGCACATTAGCGCATTCTCGGTCTGGTGAGTCTGACAATGAAGATTGTGTTGGATCCGACGAGGTGGTTCAGACGGCCGACGAATCAATCTCTGAAGTGGAAAGACTCTCCGAACTCGCCATGTCAGACCTTAAGTTGATTGCTGACTGTATGATGATCTCTGGCTATGGCAAAGAGTGTGTGAAGATATATAAAATTATTCGAACATCGATTGTAGAGGAACAACTCTATCATCTTGGGATTGGAAGGTACAATTCTTCAATGATCAACCAGATGAACTCAGAAGCTTTTGAGCAGCACATCAAGAACTGGTTGAATGTGATAAGGATCGCCATGAAAACACTCTTTTATGGTGAGAGGCTTCTCTGTGATCACGTGTTCTCTGCATCGAACACGATTAGAGAATCGTGCTTCACTGATGTTACCAGAGACGGAGCCATCAATTTGTTCAGATTTCCTGAACTTATAGGAAAGAGTAAAAGCTCACCGGAGAAAATTTTCCGGCTAATGGACTTATACGAGTCAATCTCTGGTCTATGGTCAGAGATTGAATCAATCTTCTCATTTCAATCGACCTCAACTGTTAAATTACAAGCTCTAAACTCTCTCATCAAACTTTGTGACTCGGTGAGAATAATTTTATCTGAGTTTGAGTTGTCAATCGAAAAGAACTCGGCGAAGACGTTGGTTGCCGGCGGTGGAATCCACCCAATGACGAATTCAGTGATGAATTACGTATCTTTACTCGCTAATTATAGCGGTGTCCTGACTGACATTGTCGCTGATTCAACATCACCGACACAGTCGCGGTTGCTGGAAACTTACTTTGAAAGTATGAACTCTGACGAGAGTCCAACACCAACTGTTTCGGTTCGACTGGCGTGGATCGTACTCATGCTCCTTTGCAAACTTGACAGCAAAGCCAAGCTCTACAATGACATAGCATTGTCCTATCTCTTTCTGGCCAACAATCTTCAATTTGCCATCGAGAAAGTCCGTACAACTAACCTCAAGTACCTCCTCGGCGATCACTGGGTGGCAAAGCATGAGAAAACAGTGAAACAATATGCAGCAAACTACGAAGCGATGGATTGGACTAAGGTGTTTTCTACTCTACCGAAGAATTCAAGTGATGCAATGTCACCGGAGACCGTGAAGGGGTGTTTTAGTCAATTCAACTTGGCTTTCGAAGAGGTGTATCGAAAACAGATGTCGTGGGTGGTACCGGACAGGAAGCTAAGAGATGAGATCAAAGTATCGATAGCGAAGAAGCTTGTGCCGGCTTATAGGAAGTTTTATGATACGTATTTGATAACTTTGAGTGGGGAGAGAAATCTGGAAGTGTTGGTGAGGTTTTCACCCGATAATTTGGGGAATTATTTGTCGGATTTGTTCCATGGGACTGCCGTTTCAGGAAGTTCATCATCGTCATCATCTTCATAGTCACATTCACGTGTATCCTGGTGTTTGCCGTAGACGTTTATGTAATTCAATAACATGGCACAAAATGTTTTATCACTTTTTGTCTAGCACTTTGATCTACATCACAACTTATTTAACAAACACTATTCAGCAATTTAAATCTATAATCCAACAGTTATACCAAACAGATTAACAGCTTTTGATTAAAGTCATAATCTATAATCTATTAAGCTATAATTTATAATCTGTTTTAATAGCTACACTAAACGGGGCCAATGGTTCATTGCTTTACTTGCTCTAGTCTTGGGATTCAAAAAAAAAAAAACCTGATGAAATAATTATTTCAACTCGATTTAACTTGAATCCGCAGAACAGCAATTAAACTGGGGAAATTTTTATGGCCTAATTGAAAAGCCGACCATCACTAGATAAAAGGAACCACTGAAGAGAAAATCAACGAGATTCATTTAATTACCATAACAATATACAACACATAATAATTGACATACAACAACAAAATTTGAAGTTTCTCATCGAGTATGCCAAAATATCAGTGTCGGTGGCTCAGAGTAAAGAGACTTGAGAAACAATTTTCTTAGAACTTTAGATATCTAAATGGTGTCGAAAACGCCTGCTCGGCCATAACATTAAAATAATTCAATGGGAAGAGGGTATTTTATGCATCTAACCTTTTTGAGTTCACAAAACTATTATGAGCACGGAGATGTGCATGTATAGGATGTACAACACCAGGAGTTTGTTTAGGAAGCTATAAGCAACCATCACTTACTCTGGTGGTGTCGATATGGATTGCCAACCAGTGCAGATCTGTTCCGGTTCAAGTCCCCTTCAGCCATATCAAGTTTTATTTTGCCTCTTGTTTGCTGCCAACAGACCATCAAAGAAACCAGATTTTAATAACAGTCAGTACAATTTCAGTGTTTTCGAACTGAGACCATAATGCAATTTTAATCAGTTTAACAAAAAAAGGCATTTTGATTTTGAAGTAAAAAATAGTACTAAATATTTTCAAAACATCCACATTAAGGAATTTAGGTACAGATTTTAATTAATTCAAGCCACTAAAATTATGATCCTTCATTAATAAACTGTACTTTTCTGCCCAAATAGCTTAACTGTTTCACTTAATAAAGTACCAAACACAGTGAACTTGAAACTTCCATGTATTTGGTTGTTTACGTTTTCTGGCCGCTGATTAAGCCAACATATTCAAACAGTAGGCAATGACCAATCCATAGGATCATAATTGAAATACAAAAGATAGTTTTTTTTTTTTTTTTTAATTAATTAATTTATTTTGAACTTCATGTAGTGGGAACACTACAAAATAAAATATGCTTGCAAGAGATCAAATGTTTTCCTTTCCCTCATCCGAAAGCCTTTATACTGTGTTTAGTTGGGAGATTTAGAAAAAGAAACAGAAAATGTAGGTGAAATATGAATAAAATATATCTATATTTTATCTAATCTCACAAATTTTTTTCTTTTATTTTTCCAAATCCTTTCTCAAATCTTTCAACCAAACACAGCATAAATAACATTCCATGCCGAGCATCATGAAGGCTCTCATTAAGATCTCTCTGTACTCAAATCTGCCCAGGAAAATGTCAGGTTTGACCTACGTGTATAATAAATTCATATATGTAAGTCTTTACAGAGCATATATTTTATCTAGAATGAGGTAGTTTTGAGGCTCTTGAAAGTTGAGAATCATGCTATTTCCTCATGTTAGGACTCTTGTTGTCAAAATTTATGGAAAAACTAAGTTTGTAATCGAGTTGTAATTTTCTAGTTTTGATCTTCCCGCTCGAGCGCTCGAGTGGAGTTTTCACTCTTACAGCGTTTTGTGTGTCAGCAAAAATACTGGGTTCACTACTAGAAAAAACACTTTCCGTGACGAACATGTTTGGTCGCGAAAAGTACCATATTTGGTCGCTAAAACCTTTTCGCGACCAAAATACGTTGGTCGCGATTACGGACCTTGACAAAGTATCGAAAAATACTAATATATTATCATGTATCCGGCAATATAAAACAGTAGCTCCAAGTTTTAACCATGTCTCCCCTTGTATAAAGTCTTTTATGCTGGGTTTAGTTGAGAGATTTGGAAATAAAAAAGAAAAAAGTAAGTAAAATATGAATAAAAAATACTTACATTTTATCTAATTTTACACACATTTTTTTTTCTTCAAATTTCCTTTTAAATCTTTCAATCAAATAGCGCAAGTGATCTTGGGTACCACTGTTAAAAAAAGACTTGCTAAAGTTCACTCTCGTAGCCTTAACTAACCTTAACTTCTAGAAAGCTAAAGGTAGATGTTGAATCACATTTGAGTCATCTCTAATCCATATATAATTACACGTATGCGCCCTTTTGTCCTTACACGTTTACAGAAACCAAGTCAGTCAATAGGGGGTCCCACATGCCAAGTCAATTCCCACCTTCCTCAGTTGGACACGGGCTTCCCCGCTCTTATTTAAACTCAACTCATCACAATCTCTCGCTGCACTACAACTCATTCAACAGACACTTGTGAAGTTCTTAAGTTCTCTCTGTGCATTTTCAACACTCAAATGGGGGTTCTTGAAATCAAAAGGAAAGAAGACACCAAACATGACCCGAAAAGGCATGGCACGTCTCTTCTCTTTCACAAAACTACCTCTTCACTTTCTTCATCTTCATTTTCAATCCCTCGAAGCATGCCTCCCTCACCGCACCGCACCTTCTCCGAATCAATGATGGAGGAAACCATCGAGACTGCAGAGGCCACGATCACGAAATGGGACCTCGATGACGCTTCTTCATTCGCTAACTTCGTGTCTCTCTTCCAAAAAGACAGAAAAGAAGCCAAAGACTACATCAATGCATCAAGGACTTGCGCCGCGCCATGCACTTCTTGGTATCGGTGAATTCAGGTTCTTACAAGCTTGTTCTGGCACAAAACTTGATGCAAATCGCCATGAAAAGACTTGAAAAGGAGTTTTACGGATTTTGTCAGCTAACCGACGGTATTTGGATCCGGAATCAGTGTCAAGCCATTCGTCACGCACATTAGCGCATTCTCGGTCTGGTGAGTCTGACAATGAAGATTGTGTTGGATCCGACGAGGTGGTTCAGACGGCCGACGAATCAATCTCTGAAGTGGAAAGACTCTCCGAACTCGCCATGTCAGACCTTAAGTTGATTGCTGACTGTATGATGATCTCTGGCTATGGCAAAGAGTGTGTGAAGATATATAAAATTATTCGAACATCGATTGTAGAGGAACAACTCATCATCTTGGGATTGGAAGGTACAATTCTTCAATGATCAACCAGATGAACTCAGAAGCTTTTGAGCAGCACATCAAGAACTGGTTGAATGTGATAAGGATCGCCATGAAAACACTCTTTTATGGTGAGAGGCTTCTCTGTGATCACGTGTTCTCTGCATCGAACACGATTAGAGAATCGTGCTTCACCGATGTTACCAGACACGGAGCCATCAATTTGTTCAGATTTCCTGAACTTATAGGAAAGAGTAAAAGCTCACCGGAGAAAATTTTCCGGCTAATGGACTTATACGAGTCAATCTTCTGGTCTATGGTCAGAGATTGAATCAATCTTCTCATTTCAATCGACCTCAACTGTTAAATTACAAGCTCTAAACTCTCTCATCAAACTTTGTGACTCGGTGAGAATAATTTTATCTGAGTTTGAGTTGTCAATCGAAAAGAACTCGGCGAAGAGTTGGTTGCCGGCGGTGGAATCCACCCAATGACGAATTCAGTGATGAATTACGTATCTTTACTCGCTAATTATAGCGGTGTCCTGACTGACATTGTCGCTGATTCAAACAACCGACACAGTCGCGGTTGCTGGAAACTTACTTTGAAAGTATGAACTCTGACGAGAGTCCAACACCAACTGTTTCGGTTCGACTGGCGTGGATCGTACTCATGCTCCTTTGCAAACTTGACAGCAAGTCCTTGTAAGAATCACTTGCTAAAAAATTCCATATCAGATACTTCGTCATGAGTTTTACCTTTTTTTTTTTTTTTCTTTTTAAAAATGCATGTCGTGCTTGAATGACCAAAGATAAACATATTTTACTTTTTGTTTTTTTCCAATGTAATTAGAGTGATAACATAAGAATGAATCTTATGTGTATATTTACTATAGTGGGCTGTAGAATTTAAAATATTATAATGACACTTATTTTAAATCGTCAAAAACTGAATGATATAGATACTATGGCCGAGATTTTCAAGTACAATAAATAAGACATATTATATTTATATCACTTATACTTTATCTATATATTATTTTTATTGATATACAAGAGCACTATCACTGGTCTAATAATTGTTTTGTGAGATGTCTCTCTGTCCAACTCCATGGGAAAAGTTTTTCCAAACAAAGTCTACGAAGGACAAAAATAAATATAACAAAAGTAAATTACGAAAAAAATTTAAGAAATGTTGACATGAATCTAGATCTCACATCCATGTGATTTTTTTTTTTTTTTTTTTTTTTTTTTGTGTAGAATCTAACATCCAGTAAGATCTTCTGGTATTATTTCATTATATTGTTGTGTACCTAAAAGTGCTACAATAAACTATTCTAATTTATAAAAAATATTGAAAAACAAGTTCTTAAAACCCACCATATAATCCCCATTCATTTGAACACCTATGACAAACTTAGTGATTGAGCTGAAAAGGGATTGAAAGTACATAGAACAGCAACCATTCCTCATCTACCATCCTTTTCTCTATTTTATTATTTACATTTATCTTGCATTGTTTCAATGTTGGATCCATTGCATCATTACACAATGAGACATCATATATAAATAAATTAGTATTTTTTTTAACAATTGTAAGGGGAGATCATGGGTAGAGAAAAATTGCACAGCGCAACATTAAAACTTAAACGCACCTCCTTGTTATTAGACAACTATTAATATGAGTTTTTTATTAGAATGAATATGGAATGGACTGGTCCAATCTTTAATCTGCGTTTGTATGATTATTCCCTGTACATAATGAATGATAAGTCACCTTAGAATACCATTTTTTTAAATTTTTTTAGTGAACCAACGTGAGGAAGAACATTCTAATGAAATGTCATTTCATTGTTAGGAACAAACTACTACGCTTAG